ACCACTACCATGTTTTATAGCAAATATGCATTCCATTTTAATGCCGATAACTACAAAAGTCAACAATGCAATATGAAAATACAGTTTCACCTTACTGAAAAAAGATGCGAATCTCTCTCATGAAGATCTAAGCCATGTCTTTGAGATGCTGTATATCAGTGTACTGATATGAACTCATCTTGGTCACTTATAGCAGCACACTACACATGTCCTTATGAGACCTTGCTATCACCATTGGACTACTGGAGAGCTTCCAAATTGATCCAACTCTAATACTTTGTTTCAGATACCAGACTAGACCTGAAAATAAATAACATGTTTCACTTAATTCTAAAAAAAGGAAGATGTAGGCAAATGAAGTTAAAATGTGTTAGATATGGTGATTTCAATATAACATTCAGGTTGCAAATATGGTTAAAAAAGGTAAACTTGATAGAGTGAGACTCAAAGATGTGAAGCAATGGGCATGTATTAAAGTGACAAATGCATCCTAAAAATAGATGAAGTTTCTACAAGCATATTTAGCCATTTACAGGTTAAAAATCTAATCAGGTAGAGTATGTATCATAAAGTTTAAGGCAATGTTGGAACGGTGAGGTTTGATCATTGGTGCAAACATTGATACATACCAGTATAGTGGAAAGTCAAATGACAATGTACCAAATTAAAATTTATTATTATATGCAATCCTATTCATGAAGGAAAAAACAATTTTAGATATTGTGAGTGAATATAGCAAAATGTGGCCACACAGATCAACTATAGGTACCAATAGATCCTATATCATCAACTAAATGTGAAATTTGCATCCCGAAAACTTGTAAACAAGGATGGATATTTGCATGTGTGGGACATATGCAATGTACTTGTTAAAATCACATGTGCAAACATGATTCAAATAATCTGTTTGAATATTTTTAGTCTATTTTTAAGAGTCTTGGCTACCAAGGTTTTAAGTTCAATGATTCAATGATTCAATGGAATGAAATATCAGCTGATGCTGCAATACCGCCCTCTGTCAAAGTACTAAATTGAAATGTGTTACCATACAGAGGCATATTCATGATGAAAATAACATCTTGGGATATTTTAAGTGCATACAATCAAAACTGAGCCTTACAGATTCACTATAGGTACCATGTCAACCTAACAATGTCAACTTTTGATTCCAAACATTACAAAATATATGCAAATTTGTTCATGTCAGCTATGTAACCATGTTAGGATCAGTTGTAGAAAGTTAAATTCAAATAATCTGTTTGAATATTACTTATGTAATCTTTAAAGTGTCAGATAACAAATATTATTAGTCATTAATAATGCATAAAGCAAAATGGATCATGAGAATTCCCATAATATCATCTAGGCTACAATGTCGCACTACATCAATCAACATCTTAAAGAAACTGAACAATAAAATGGAATGCATTCTGTGTTCAACTTACATCATTTTGCTGTTTTCTTACATGCAATGGTAAATATACCTGGGTAAAGTATATTTTACCCCTCTGACCTGTATTTCATTCTCTGACAGCTTAATATGATTTTGTAGAGAACTTGAACAGGTTCTAGTATAAAGTCTTCATCTCTGTCCTCTCACTAAATACCCTATAACTATGGTTACAAACAATTACTGATAGCTATACAAGCAGATATGTGTTACTCAGGAAGTCACCCCATCATAAACACATAAATTAACTGTTTGAACCCCAAATAAATAGCTTCAATGACCTAAAGGTACAAAGCAAAATAGAATTTTGTCTTCATGTATTTTAAATGAGGGTCTCATTTTGACTAATAAAGATAGTTTCTCTGATCAAATTTGACAAATATCCATCATTTGAGCTTGTATATGGTGTAGGAGTATATATATGCTGATATCATTTAATATCATTCCCAAAAAATATTATATATGTGTATACTTGGTGGAAATTTTTTATTTTTTAACTGTTTTTTTAAATTTCATTTAAATTTTTAAAATTAAAATTACTTTTTTACTTCTAATTTAATTTTTATTTTTTTAAAGTCAATATACATAACATTAAAATTTCATGTATATGTCATTAATGATAAAAAAATTATATCAGTTTCAAGTTTTTACTGACAGGCCATAGTACACAATTAATTTTACTATACGGTCTCTACATTTGTTCCTCAGTACTGAACTTTCCACTGTGTGACAATCAATACAAATCATATGTTAATCTAAAATACTTTCAAAGATGACTTAACGGTTTAGTTCTTGTCAAGGGTTGACCTGCATTTTTTTGAGAGGCTGAATTGTAAACAAAACACCAGGCAACGGAACACAGATTTCACTTCCGGATCATCACCATGACCTTATTACTCAATGTGCACTGTCGCCGAAATACACACAGACAACCATACCATAAGATCACATTTTAAAGAATAATCAATTGCCTTTAAATCCTTACCAAGAATGCCAAAATCTAACTCTAGTATCACCACCAAATTTAGACCGGAAAAAGTAATCTAAAAATAGACTGGGACTACATTCGTGGGTACTGAACCGGATTTTATTAATTGTGTACTGATTCCTTATGTATTGAACTACTATTCATAGGGCCGTCAAGCAAATCAAGGGTGGATATAGGACAAACGGTACTAATTGTATTGAAAAATATGAACCAGTCTAGAAATGGGTGAACTTTAAATAGAGTATATACGGGCTTGGCTGACCAGGATTGGTTAATAAAAATAAAGAAACTGTTTAATTGCTGGAATTTCAGTTCTTTGATAGTCTTGAGTTTTGAACACTCATTACTAAAATTAACATATGACTCTTTGGTGCGGAATTGAAAGCACATGTTTCAAGCATATGCAGCTCCAGAAAAGTCAGCTTCTCATATATATACTTTCCTCTGTCACAGAAGCTAACTTCCAGGTTTGATGCTAAATGTAGTTTGATCATGAGCACCCAGGAGACTAATTACACGAAGGCGCCATTACGCGGCTGAGCTTATTAGTCGGCACAACAGAGAGACGTACATAATTTTATGCAGTCATAGTTGATGCTTATGGCCTGCTGAATGGTTCTTCTAGCGCGAGTACAAATGCAATGGTAATCAAAACTACTACACTATCGAGTTATCTTGACCAGTAACCAGTAATAACAGTTAGAACCAAGCAAGCACTTAAGGAGTTTGTTAATATACCGTGTGCCTAGAACTTGTATAATCTTTCAGGTAGGTGTCAGAACAATAACTATGTTCCGCTAAGAGAACTAATCTACCGGTCGGGGGATAAAAATAGAGCACTAGATATTTTTAGATGTATCCATTATTTTTATTCACTATAAAATATTTACTATTACTTTGATGTAATGTATTTTATTTCCCACTGATGATATATTAAGTGAATTCTATTTTTTGGTGCAGACCAGGGGAGATTCCCCTGATTAAATTGCACCGGATAGTTTTGTATTTGTACACCCCACGCAATGTTTCTAAGGTATAGTGCATGAAGCTATTAAGCGTCATCCTTACTTTCATAAAGTCAATTATTTTTATCTTATACTATAGGAACACCATGCTATATTGGAACTGAATTAGTGTCAGTATTTAGAATGCAAATACTGATTGATCATTCCAACCCATCATCATCTCTCTCTCTCTCTCTCTCTCTCTCTCTCTCTCTCTCTCTCTCTCTCTCTCTCTCTCTCTCTCTCTCTCTCTCTCTCTCTCTCGTGTGATTATGAATGGAAAATATTATATGATGGATTTTTGAGGTCCTGTACGTTACAAAAACAAAAAAAAAATAAACACATATGTCGGTAATGTTAATCAACATTCCCGAAAATTATCCGTGTTATCCTTGCATTGTTGGCATGTTAGCTACTCTTAGGTCAGTCTCTCTTTTATTCCCTTCTTGTTTCTATATTTGGCTTTGTTTAGTCTTTATCTTATATTACCTTGTTGATCTTTAAATATCAACGCAGGTATACATAGAAACTTGTAGAAACTGGACAAATATTTTTTGACCACTACGGTCCGACGCCTTTTGTCTCTCATGTGAATTACATGATAATTAAGCCTCTGTATATTAAATAAAATGACATGAAAAAGTAATATATTTTAATACATTTATACTTATTTTTAACAATTTGACCGTAATAGAGCATCAGTGAGCTTTTGCATAAATAAAGAAGGATTCCGAATACTTTGAAGCGTTTGATTCAGTTCAGTTAAAGAAACAAAGACAATTTATGTGTCAAATAGATTATTGAAATATATAGTACATCGATTCTCTGAAACGGGTGTAATTACATGAATCGCCGTAAAGGTCACATAGAAGAAAAAAAAATGTTTATATGAATGTGTCTCTACCTTCATGATCACAAATATGTTTGTATTTAAGTCCGTTTGTGTATATGGATGTGCAATGTTTTTTGTTTATATTTATGTATGCATATATGTGTATTGGCTTATGTTGTATGCATATGTGTGAATAAGTCAATATATGCATGTGTGTATAAATATATGGATTTATTTGCATGACTATATGTATGTTTACATGTATGCATATGCAAATGTGTGTATGTATATAGGTAAATCATATGACTCTTCAGGTATTCAAACTAAAGCGCTTAAAATGCATGACATGATTCTAGTGCTCAGCTGCGTGATTTGAAAAACACATAGCAAGATCGTGTTTTCGCTTGCAAAATAGGATCTGAAATTGTATAAATGTACATCATGGTCATTGAGCTGACGCCCTTATGCAAGATCAGTCATTGGGGATGAGTGTGAAATGGATTTTTAACGTAGCTTTAATAACTTTGTTTCAGTCTCATCGCTATGATGTCTGCAGTGTTGCAGTTTATAGTGATGTCTAGCAATGGGGCATCTAGCCACAAATTTGTAGGATCATGCTCACAGTCACATTATCCTGACACCAGGCTGACCAGTCCTATTACTAACCTCTTAAAGCTGAGCGCCAAGGGAGGCAGCTGTTAGTACAATTTTTATATGTCTTTAGTATGATTCGGCCGGAGATGGAACCCACGACCTCCCGCTTCTGCTGCGGACGTTCTAACCACTAGGCCACCGGATCGGTAAAAAAACAGTCAATGGTGCATCAAGTGTAAATTATTAACTCTGTAAACAATAGGGAAACGTCATTCCATATATCTGTTTCTTGTATTGCCAATATTGATGTAACCCTAACCTAACTTTCCACACCCTATTCAATGGTTGCACTAAGGATTTGAAACATTCGTTATGAATTGCACAACTGCATAAAGTTACGGTGAGAGGGAAGAAGATAAGAATCTATCTCAATATGTATAGACAGAACTAAGATTACATGTTTGCATTACATGTTTGCACTCATTTAGTTTAAAAAAAAAAAAGAATTGCGCGTGCAGTGAACCGACAACCACATTAGTTTTGTTAACTTGAAACAAGATATATTGTTTGCCGAAAATGCGCAATAGGTATATTGTATCACATTATAAACTTGGTGTAAAATGTAATAAACAACATAATATAAAAATTGCGTTTTCAGGATGATTAAAATCATAAACGCGATAACTTGAAATTTCTGCATCATATTCACAAGTCAAAAATACTTCTTAATTGAAAGCAATAGTATTGATCTCAGCTTGTTCGTAAGATTTTCTTTGGAGGTCTTAAATGGCCTTCTGGTTCCTTTAAACATTATATTCCAAACTGTACCTTGTACAGGGTCTTGTGAACTAATGCCCTTTCTCAACTAATTTCAGGAGCAGACAATTCAGTTAAAAATTGTAAAGAAATACCTAAAATAAAGTCGAAAACAAAACAAACAAAACATTAAACAAGGAGACCTTCCACGTTATGAACTTTCAAAGGTAAATGAAGTGAACTAATCCGGGAACAAATAAAACTATATTCTGATAACTGAGGCAGTATTGTATTGGGTGACCTTAGTGACAATGGAACATTCTAGTTAAATAGGGGTATACACACTTAGTCGGTATTGGGTATTTAACATTAGGAAAATTGGGCCTGTATAACGAGAAGTGAAAATGGAACACAGCGAGAAGGGAATGTTTGACAAATGCCGGAACTGTTTATTGACAGGAGAAATTGAATATTTGGAAAGTGAGGTGGCAGTGGGTTGAGATTATAATGTGACAAGGGGAATCGAACATGGAACTATCTAAGGAAAAGAGTACCTTGAAGATGGATGGGTTTGTGTAGAAAAAAATTATAGGGCCTGTCCCGAGACAACCAAGATAAAGGGCCAAACACAGCATAAACATAGACAAGCATAAAATTGGAATTATGTTGGCGATGTTTACAAATTTGCATAATTGTAGAGATGATATAGGTAGTATAAATAAAGGTAAAGATCAGTACCAAAATAGATGTCACTAAAAGTAAAGCTAAAATAACGAAATTGTCCCAGAATTTAACGGAGACTATTCATATCCCTGAACATTAGCTTGCATTGGTTTAGACTAAAATGGATAAATCTAGGACCTATAGTCTCAACATGTGTGACGATCGTTGATAAACAGACATGTATCTAATTATAGCTATATCCTATGTAAATTCCTATGGGGAATCGGAAGTCTCTATTTATAGTATCAAATTTTCTAGCTTCAATGACGTCACAGTACTAAACAACTGTGGATTAAAGACAACAGTGTTGCAAGTGACTGACCTGCATAGGTGCTACTGTTGGTACGTAGGTTACATTTATTTTATAGGGATAAATGGAGGTTTATAGGGACAAATAAAGTCCAATAATTTTGACAACTTTATCAATTTGATAAAAGGTGACACTGATGAAATATTTCCTGTGGTATGCGTGTTTTCATTGCGCAATGTCTGATAGGGAAATAATAAATATAGGGCATTACACAGAAGACTAAAGACCTACATGCAAATTTAACTGTTTAAATAGTTATTTATTATTATTAGCATTTTCCAAAAAATTTCATTAAGAACGTACTTTTGCAGCAAGAGCCGTCTTGAAAATATTAAACAATTTATTTCATTATAAGAGCCCGCTATGTGATTAATTGATTCTTTTGTCCATAAAAAAATAAAACCTTGTACCTGAAATGTCTTTAAATAGTTTTGATGTGATGAATCTCTAACGCGAATTGCATTACGATGTACACAGTAACGATACTCTAACAAAATAAAAGTAATATCGTACAGTTATAAAATCTAAGCCAATTTAAAATGTTAGAAAATCTTGCATTTTTTCAACCGATCTTCACCGCCATTAAATATGCTTAAAAAAACTTAGAAGCATTAATATTTATTCCTTTATTTCTTTAACAAAGTATGGTATTTTAGATGTTGAAGTGTACAACTAATTACAGAGAAACATACAATAAACTTAAATGCCATTGAGAGAGAGAGAGAGAGAGAGAGAGAGAGAGAGAGAGAGAGAGAGAGAGAGAGAGAGAGAGAGAGAGAGAGAGAGAGAGAGAGAGAGAGAGAAAGAGAGAATTTTTGTTACCACTGCCACTTCACATGACCAAGATATCAAATTTAACAGAAAGGTGATCATGCAGATTCTCTTAAAGGTCCGGTCTTTTTGTTATACTTATGCTGTATGTATAATACATTAGTACAGATAGGAATAATTTTATAACTCATGTCCCTTGTGTTTCCATTGACATCAGATCGTATATTTGTCATATTAGAAGCGTTAGATGTCAATACATTATAGCTCGAGAATTAATTTGGTATCATTAACGATCTTCAACACCATGAAATTAGGACGCAAAATATAATTTCCTTGATATGGATGATTTATAAATTACACGGAGTATTGGAAAATATTGTTTTTCATGAGACAATGATAGATTTACCTATAATGTATGCATCATAAAACCTTCAAACCATATTGCTGCTCTGCTTTACGTTCATAAAAAGCTATTATTATCACAAATTTTAAATAACTTGGAAGTTTAATATCCGCCACGTCACGGTGAAAAGAATGAAATAAAAATGTAGTGAATTTTATACATGGACGTGTGATTTGACGTTAGGTCAACAAAGTCAAATACAATTATATATTAAATATTGTACCAAGGACATAAAAAATCGGTTTCGTTTAATTTCAATAATAGCAAGAAAGTCGTTACCATATCATGACTGCTGAGTATTCAGATCTTTCACATGATATATTATCTAGGGTGTTGTGTGTGGAGATGCCGAATGATGTAGTAGTTGTAGTTAGTGTTAATAAGTTTTATAAACATTTGTTGTTTATCGGCAAACTCATTTTTCATCGATTCCCCCAGCTGTATACGTTTGAACTTGTTAATCAATTGGTGTAGTGGTATAATTAAACTCAAGATTATTAGTAAAGATGTTTGGTAACCCGATATAAACTGATTGATCAGTATATCTGATATCATCAACAAAGTAAACTAAAATTTTGTTTTGCCGTGCTTGTATATTTAAGTTCACAAACAGTAATTTAATTGAATTAACCAAATAGCAATAGCAAATGCAACTATATATATATATATATATATATATATATATATATATATATATATATATATATATATATTTATATATATATATATATATATATATATATATATATATATATATATACATATATATAAATATATATATATATATATATATATATATATATATATACATACATAAATATATATATATATATATATATATATATATATATATATATATATATATATACATACATATATACATATATATACATACATACATACATACATATATACATACATATATACATACATATATATATAGATACATACATATATAAATATATATATATATACATACATATATATATACATATATATATACATAAATACATATATATATATATATATGTATATATATATATATGTATGTATATATATATGTATATATATATATATATATGTATATATATATATATGTATATATTAATATAATTCAGTAAATATATATATATATATGTATGTATATATGTATGTATATATGTATGTATATATGTATATATATATGTATATATATATATATATATATATATATGTATATATGTATATATATATATATATATATATATATATATATATATATATATATATACATATACATATATATGTATATTTATGTATATATATATATATATATATGTATGTATATATATGTATATACATATATATATATATATATATATATATATATATATATATATATATATATATATATATATATATATATATATATATATATATATATATATATATATATATATATATATATATATAAATATATATATATATATATATATATATAGAGAGAGAGAGAGAGAGAGAGAGAGAGAGAGAGAGAGAGAGAGAGAGAGAGAGAGAGAGAGAGAGAGAGAGAGAGAGAGAGAATAAGCTGAACGCATTACAACGTCGATGAAGTGATTAGAATGGTCCAGATCTTCACCCTCCAGGGTTGCAAATAATTCATATATACCTTTAAAACCAGTCCAAGTGTTGAAAGAAAGACGTCTTATTAGTTTGTGACTGAAAAAAAATGTTATTTCTTACAAGCCAGTTTCTTTTCCATTCAAAATGCTCCTGAATATAATACTCTGTCGAAACAAAACGTTGTATAAAGTTTCATGCCTAGGTTCGAGATTTTCCGAGTAATTCCGCACACGTTATGAACTGGTAAAACCTCTATTGTCCTTATTGTTATATGTCAAAAATGTACGACATTGTATAGTACACGATTTATGTACTAATCATGCAGAAATTAACTCAACTCAAAAGTAAATGCTGACTTAACAACACATACCGACTGATGTTTCGAATATTTGACGTCAAATGACTAGATATCTCAACCCTGGAAAAAGCAATAGGCAAGCTTTTATATGATAAGATTTGTGTTTTTTATTGACGTTATAATAATAAAACATACGCAAACTCGAAATATTGTGGTGACATGAAACAAAATTGTCCTACAAGCAACAATGTATTCCTACACCATAAACACGTTGTAATGGATGATTTTTTGAAAGCCCGTAAGCGAAAATCTCTTTAAATTCTACACCTGAACATAATAGTGGTTGTAGAATATGAAAAGGAAATGTAACATCCCATAGATTATATAGCTAATTGTCACACAGGGATCCTGAGACAATTACATGGAAGGAAAAGCATGTCCTCTGACTAGTATTATTTGGAAAAGTTGAAGTCGGAATATTCCAAAAGAGCTCGATGCATCCCATTTATGTTATAATAGTTTTGTGCGTATATATCTGTCACCTTATTCAAGAAGCTCATTTCATTAACAACAATAAGCAGTGCTGCTAAGGGCACGGTAACGATCCAGACTTCATGATAAAGTTGAAATTGTAACAGGGACTAACACATTTATCATGATATGGCATGGATGGATGAATGGATGGATTGATGGATGTGTTGAGTAAGGAGAAAGAAAGAATGTAATCTTTATTTTAGTCGACCATACTGCTATGACAGTGCTGTCTTAAATAGATTCCTTCCTTCCTTCCTTCCTTCCTTCCTTCCTTCCTTCCTTCCTTTCCTCCTTCATTCCTTCCTTCTTTCACATAGTAAGTTATTTCAAATTGTTTTATTTTATATTTTTTAAAGATGTATTTTCTATCGTTTTATTTCTTGATTGTGTCTTCATATTCAGAGAAAACTGTTTAGACCTCTCCATTGGTCTCATCAGGTGGCAATAAGTAACACAATTGCTTATAATATGCGTTGTGTTACCTACCGATTTCCCCACTACAGTTATAACTTTTGTGCCATGTGTTCTTTAGCGTGTCTTTGAACACTGTCATTTTGGTAGTAGGATTAAGATATTTTTCTTTCCATCTTCAGTGTCAAGTGACTCCTTTAAATCCAGTACATATAAGTGATCGCCTTGGTGTCTAGCAGACATTTGCGTTAGTCAGATTTCCTATTGCCTTGCTGAGTCCTGTACCTTAGATGGGCCAGTATCATACTTCCTCGTCTTGATTGGTTTGATGATGCTTTTGATACGACTGATTGTATGTGAATTCCTTTTTCTCCAGTGATCATAGAGTATTGGTTGAAAGTTTCCCTCCCAATTTTGATTTCAGTGATGATCACAGGCTTGAAGATCAAACAGCACAGTGCTTTAATGTCTTAGAAGAAAATTTTCTGTTTGAGCCTTTTTCGTTCTCCTGTTCTTATTCCTAGAAACATATTGTAACTAAATGTTGCAGAATTACACCATTTGAACTGTAAACAACCCAAATAGACGGTCTTTCTACATTCCACATTGGATTAAGAATGTTGTAAGCATGTTGGAAGGCAGAAGCAAACTGTGTATCTCCATCTGTTGTTGCATGTCTAATGAGAATCTTTTTCAGCACAAACGCTTTCCCTATTTATTTACCATTTCATACCCTGAATGTGATGAAGCTGGTGATTTACAGATTTACAGTGCTGTCAACATGACCTCCTGAACATGGTACATGGAAATCTTTTCCAGTCAGCCATGCTCCAGTCCATCACAGCTTGTTGTCTACTGCTATCCCCGCAATGTACCGCTTCTCTGTAAGAGTTTAACAGGCAATTTCAATTGCTTGCAATGGAATTTGACCAAATTTATTTTCATGTCCAAATCTAATAGCATTCTATCTTGAATCAAGAGTAACATTTATTTGCTCCAGATATTTAACATTACGTATGTCATTAACCTGTCTGACTAGGTTCATATTGTATGTCATATCCGTTTCATTAAGCCCCACAGTTGCTTCGCCTACAATGTTGCACTTTGCATAGCTGTTTTGCTAGGTGGCGGAATGTCAGTGGCTGCAAGCATGTATCTAGCCCTGATGTTGGCCATTGGTATATCTTTTAGCCTGAAACATCATATTTACAGCAGCAAGATTTGGCCCAGGTTTTTTATTTTTTACTCCTAAAATAACTTATAGTCTGGGAACATAAAGCTGTAGTTTTAAACATCATTTTATGCTTCCAAGCATGTCCCCATTTTCTTACATAGCAATTTGGAACTCTGGTCTGTTATATATGTTGACTTGATTACCATAGCGATGACTGATGCCGTTCCACATCTCAATATTTTATTTAATGCAGATGGTACGTGTCCTCACCTCCATATTCAATTCTGTCTCTCTCAGGTCCAGTTTTGCTTTGGATGGTGGTCATTAAATCTCTGCAGACCCAGGTGTGCCACTAAAGTCTGTTGCCTGAACTGACTGGAGATCCCCATTTGTTTTGTCACTGCAATAACAGAGAACTTGTTTGCATTAATTGTTCTGATCACTGGAATAGATGCAGCCCTGGAACTTGGTAAAGTATCATCAGTCAGATTTATTTTTTTCTTATGTGGAATATATCCAATTTTGAAAAAGTTTTCTTCCTCTTCTTGTACCATTTCATACCCGTTCATGTTTTCCATTACAATATCTGTATGCAAAATACAAGAATTTCCTCTCGCTCTCTCTCTCTCTCTCTCTCTCTCTCTCTCTCTCTCTCTCTCTCTCTCTCTCTCTTTTTCTCTCTCTCTCTCTCTCTCTCTCTCTCTCTCTCTTACACACACACACTCACACACACACACACATACACACACACACACACATATATATATATATATATATATATATATATATATATTTATACACACACACACACAAATGGACGCTAGCTTACTTTCAGAGGACTATACCAACTCTTCAATACTATTGGAGGCCTCATATTTGAGGGCTCCTCCCCTTTATGGGTGGAAATTACGTCATGTACTAGGTTAGTACCTTTAACTTGCGTGTTTAGATGCTACCAGATTTCAGGTATTTCCTTTGATTGACAGGCTTTGGTTTAATTACTTCACACCTGATAAGGAGAAACATTGATGTTCATGATAAAGGAATGACGAGACTTTGCCACATAATAAAAGTTGTCAACTTCAGGTTTTAAATTTTCATTAAAATTTTAGTTAAATTTAAATTTTCATATAAGAATGTATCATTTTCTTTAAATTTAATTTTCTAAAAATTTTCAATAGTCAAGTTAAATTCCCAATACTTTTCAGATTTGTGGTAAGACTAAAAGCTAATTAAAGTTTTTTTTGAAGTGTTTATCTTGATTAGCAAAATGACAAATTTCAAGTTTTATGCATTTTTGACATTCGCGATTTGGAAATGGATTGTGCATGTGTTACAGTGGTGTCAGACAAAAGCCTGTAACTGTACAATTTATGGATGAAATTCCTTAAAATTTGGCAGCAGTACTTAAGAGACTAAAATGTGATCACGGATGGAAGTTTTGTACTAGGAGATGAAACTTTTTAACCCTGTCAGGCATAGGGTAGCAATTAGTACTTCCAGTTCAGTTCCCACGAATGTAGTTCTAGTCTGTTTTGAAAACATTTTCTTCATCTATGGTGATACAAGAATTTTATAGTTGCATTTTTAAAGGTAATTGTTTATGCTCGAGAATATGAACTTATGGTATTGTTGCCTGTTTATTTCGGTAAAAGTCCACAGTGAGTAATAAGGCCTTGCTGATGATTCATAAGTGAAATATGGGTTCTTTTTGCATGGTTTTTGTTTACAATTCATCCTCTCAAGATAGTGTCAACCTTTTACTAGATCTTCACCGTGAAGTCATCATTGAACGTAATTTTGAATAACAGGATTTGTATTGATTGGCACACAGTGGAAAGTTCAGTACTGAAAAATAGATATAGAGAATATAATGCAAAATTAAATGTGTCCTGTAGCCACATGCTTGAGTATTATATTGTTTAAAGCAGATGTCAGACTTATAACTGTTTATTTTATTTATAACTGTATATATATGTGTAAGTCAAATAAATCTTGACCTTGGGCATGTCTTCAAACTGAAGCGCTTAAAATGTATGCTGACATGATTTCAGGACATATTCTAGTCCTCTGCTGCGTGATTTGAAAAAGACATAGCAAGTTGGTGTTTTTCCTTGCAAAATAGGATAGGAAATTGCCTAAATGTACATCATGGTCATGGATCTGATGCCGTTATGCAAGAACAGTCATTGGGGATGTCTGTGATTTGGATTTTTAACGTAGCTTTAAAAATTTGTTTCAGTCTCATCCCTATGATGTCTGCAGTGTTGCAGTTTATAGTGATGTCGATGACTGTGGAATCCAGCCCCACCCAGTCATATTATTCTGACACCAGGTCGACCAGTCCTAAAACTAACCTCTTAATGCTGTGCGCCAAGCGAGGCAACTGTTAGTTCCATTTTTTTACGTCTTTGGTATGACTCGGCCAGAGATGGAACCCACAACCACCCGCATCTGAGGCGGACGCGCTAACCACTAGGCCTCCGGATCGGTAAAAACAGTCATTGGTGCACAAGTGTAAATTAGAAACTCTAAACAATAGAGAGACGTCATCAGGAATATTGTCTTCTTTTATTGCCAAGATAGATGTAACCCTAACCTAACTTTCCTGATCTACACCCTCTTCAATGCTTGCAAACAGGATCTAAAATGTTCCCTATCATTTACACATCCGTATAAAGATACGGGGAAAAATACCCCGAAAGATAATAATCTAACCTCGATCTGTGTAGATGAAACTAAGATTACATGTCTGCATTCTGAACTCGTTTGCTAATAAGAAAATAATTGCTCGTGCAGAGAACCAGCAACAACAGTAGTTTTGTTAAATTAAAACAAGTTATATTGTTAGCAGAAAAGGAGCAATGGGCATATTCGATAAGATATGTATATATATATATATATATATATATATATATATATATATATATATATATATATATATATATATATATATATATATATATATATATATTTTATATTTATATATATATATATATATATATATATATATATATATATATATATATATATATATATATATATAAACTTGGTATAAAATGCAATATAAAGTATAATAAATTAATTTAATAATTTCTTTTTCAGTATGTTGACAATCCCCAAGGCGATCATTCATTATAAACTCCTATTCTCAATTCAAAAAGATATCTTAATTGAAGCCATTTATATTAATCTCATCTTGTACGTAAGACTTGCATTGATGAAGGTGTTAAATGGTCTTCTGGTTTCTTCAAACAGTATATTCCAACCTGTACCGTAGATAGATTCTTGTGACCTAATACCCTGTCTCAACCAAGGTCAGGAGTAGACGATTGTAATGGTAAAGAGATACCAAAAAAGACGGAAACAAACCAAACAAAAACTCAGACAAGAAAAACAGTATGCATTTTCAATGCGGCAAACGTAAATGAAGTTAACTAATCTGGAAACAAATAAAAATATTTTCTGATAACTGTGGCAGTAGTGTAAGGAGTCACGTTACCAACAATGGAACTTTAATGTTAAATATGGGTATATACACTTTGGCGATAATGGGACTTTAATGTTAAATATGGGTATATACACTTTGGCGATAATGGAAATTTAATGTTAAATATGGGTATATACACTTTGGCGATAATGGGACTTTAATGTTAAATATGGGTATATACACTTTGGCGATAAAGGGACTTTAATGTTAAATATGGGTATATACACTTGGGCGATAATGGGACTTTAATGTTAAATATGGGTATATACACTTTGTCGATAATAGAAATTTAATGTTAAATATGGGTATATACACTTTGGCGATAATGGGACTTTAATGTTAAATATGGATATATACACTTTGGCGATAATGGGAATTTAACGTGGGGAATATTGGGCCTGTAGAGCAGCGAGTGAAAATGGAACAGTGTGACTATGGAAAGTTTAACAGAGGCTGGAATTGTATAATTACAATAGGAATTTGCCAAGTTTGTAGTTATAATTAGATATGTGGGTGTTTGTCCATGATCGTCACCCACAATGAGACTACAGTTACTAGATTTATCCAATTTATTCTAAACCGATGGAAGCGAATGTTCAGGGATATGCTTTGTCTCCGTTAAATTCTGGATCCGTTTAGTAATTTTTAGCATTACTTTTAGTCACATCCGTTTTGTCATTGGTCTTTACCTTAGTTATGTCTATTTGGTGCATGGTTACAATTATGCAAATTTATGAAGACCTGCCTGCATAATTTCAGATTTAGGTAATGCTTTAAATGGAAACCTCTGGGTTGTAATAATATATTCTTGACTCTATATTTGTTGTGTTTGGCCCTCTATCGTTGTTGTCCCTGGACAGGCCTTTACAATTTCCACCTATGTCCTTGAACAAACCCAACGATGTCCAAAGTCCCATTGTTCTCAGATAGTCTCATGTTATATTCCCATTATCCACAGAGAGTCCCAAACAATTATCGCTCTACATTCCCAATATTTAATTTATTTTGTCATTATACTGTCCCAACCTCTGTTATACCTCCCCTTGTCCCTATACAAGCCCAATCCATTGTCTCTAGCGAGACCCAAATTTCCCCATGTTCAATTCCGATTATCGCCAAAGTGTCCATGCCATTTTTTTAACCAAAATTATAGAGTAAAATGAATGCATTATTATAACAGTGAACATACAACGCTTTATTTCAAAGTTATTAAACTGTCCCAATAAACTGAACACCTTGGTCATATAAAGCTTTCACATGCATTACTTATTTTAACGTAAAAAAGGGTAATGGAAGATTATACGTGCATCGACAACTTCATTACATTAGTAAAGTATATTGGAGTTAACTATCCGATAGTGTACCATAAGGAGATGGAAATTTGCATGATTGACCACTCATCACAAACCTCGGGTTGAATGATACGTAAAGACTGATGACCTTGACCTGATATATATTCACTAAGATTCACATTATCCTTTATGACGCAATTAAATAACTTGTTTGTACCATTGTGATTACACCTATATCTTTCTATTGCGCAGTGTTTGCTAGGTAAATGATACATATAGTGCATGACACAAAAAATTAATGGCCTCAGTACGAATTTAACTTTCAAAATAAATATTTATTCCCAGTAGCATTTTCCTAGAAACTTTCTTTAAAAAATGTAGTTCTCTAGCAAAATCCTCCTTGAAAATAGTCAGCAATTTATTTCATTATAAGAGCCCGTTATGTGATTAATTGATTCATTTGTCCATAAAATAATAGAGCATTATACCTGAAATGTCTTGAAATAGTTTTGTAACATGTAAATAAACGTTGAATATCTTACGCGAATTGCACTACGATGTACACCGTAACGATACTCTAACATAATAAAAGTAATCTAGGATAGTTACAATATCTTAGTCATATAAAATATTAGAAATTATTGCGTTTTCTCAACCGATCTTCATCGCCGTTGATTGTGTTTAAACAAGTTAGTAGCATTTACCTTTATTCCTTTTATTTCTTTAATAAAGTATTGTATTTTAAATGTTTACGTATACAGCGAATTGCACAGGAACGGACAATGAAGCTTAAATGCCAGTTTACCTTCTTTGTATTTTCGCCACCTTTGAGAAACTTGGGGGGAGGGTCCTTTTCGTCGTGAATGAAGTGTAATTTGTATTCAATTAGTAGCGGAACATGTTTGTTTACCTAGCAAACTGCGTGAATGTATCCAAGCAGAGAGAGAGAGAGAGAGAGAGAGAGAGAGAGAGAGAGAGAGAGAGAGAGAGAGAGAGAGAGAGAGAGAGAGAGAGAGAGAGATCAGGAAAAGTTAGTCAGAAATGTTATTTCCACTGCCACTTTACATGATCAGGATAGCAGGTTTAACATATATGTGATCAGGCAGATTCTTTTAATGATCCGGCTATTTGACAGACTTTGGTATTCTTTTGTTCTTCCTAATCTTAATTAACTGCCATCATCTATCTCAAGGTAGAGAATTTTAATATATTCAGGTGTATGCTAAAGGTATGCTGTATGTATAATACAGTAGTACAGATAGGAATAACTTTATAACTCATGTCCCTTCTGCTTCATTGACATCAGATCGTATATTTGTCATAACAGAAGCGTTAGATGTCAATAAATTACGTTCGAGAATTACTTTGGTATCATTAAGGTTCTTCAAAAGAGTCAATTAAGACGTAAATACAATTTCCCTGACATGGACGAGGTATAAATTACACGGAGTATTGGAAAACATTGTTTTCCGTGAGACAAAGATAGATTTACCTATAACGTATGCATCGTAAAACCTTCAAAACATGTTCATGTCATCTTTCCTTAAAAGCTAATATTATCACTAATTTTAAGTAGCTTGAAAGTTTATGTCAGTTACGTCACGGTAAAAAGAATGAAAAAATGTAGTAAAGTTTAAAACATGACGTGCGATTCGAAGTTAGGTTAACAAAGTCAACTGAAATCATATTTTAAATATTGTGTTGACCCATGACGTAACAAGCAAAAAAACCCCAACAAAACAACAAGTTTCGTTTAATTTCAGGTATAGAAATAAGTCTTTACTATAGCATGATTACTTTATATACAGATCTTTTCATGATGCAGTATCTAGGGTGCATGCGTGGTGATGCCGAATGATGTAATAGTTGTAATTAGGGTTACTAAGTTTTATAAACATTTGTTGCTTATCGGCAAACCCGTGTTTCGTCGATTCCCTCAACTGCATGTGTTTGAATTGATGAATCGATTGGTATAGTGGTGATATTTATTTGAGATTATTATTAAAGATATTTAGTAATCCGATAAAAACGAATTGTTGATCTTGGACCAAACTTCTACATGTAGTCACGTACAGCCATTAATGTAACGTTTTCTTGGGAGCACGGTTTTATGTCATAAATCTTATTAGCCATAGTGTTTTACCCAGTTCGTATTTGCTAAGCGAACGAGCAGTACTTGAAATTAATTAATAAAGTAAGAAATATAGTCATATATATGTTATCGTCGACTCAAATCTTAAGGTGTCTTTGTAGGAATCGAGTATCCCACCCACCCCATCCACCCCGGGAAGCGAGGTAGTTTTACAAAAATGCAAATCATATATCTACCTTGCATGTGTTAGAATGAAATTGTTTATCCGAATTGTACGTTATGGCTAACCCAGATCAGTGCTGAACTCATTACAATGTCAAAGAAGTGAATAGACGTGTCCAGATCTTCACCCTCCAAGGAGGAATAATTCATATATACTTTTAAAACCGGTCCAAGTTTTGGAAGAAGCACAACTTATTGGTTTGTGACTGTAAAAATGCTATTTTTTACAAACCATTACAAACACTCCTTGAATAAAATACTCTGGCGAAACAAAATGTTGTATAAAAGAGTTTCATGCTTAGGCATGAATTTTCCGAGTATTTCTACACACATTAGGAACTAACAAAGCCTTATTTTCCATATTTTTATATGCCAATAATATACCACATTGTAT